AAAAATAGATATATTTAATTATTAATGAAATCTGATTTCTTTCCGTATTCATAATATTTCGTATCATTGTATTCCTTTCGTATTCGTATGTGGCTAGTCTGCATTTGCGGTGCCCTAATCAAAAAGGGAAAAAACACATACCGTCATTTTTAGATACTCACGAGTCACGAATGAAGAATGCATCAATTTTGTATAAATGTTTTCAATTTTCAATTTTATTTGGATGTTAATAACTTTATGAAATTACGTTGAAAACCTCTTTTTTGATGTTAATTACTTTACTCACTTTTTAACTTTATGTCGAAAAAACCTCATTTTTTAAAATGTGTTGCTTATTTATTAAACGGGCTATATTGGTTGGGTTCGACCCATTAACTTGTGAACCCATGAACTCATATACTTAAACGGGTTATATGGGTTGGGTTGGGTTGAAGTTTCCAACCCACCAATCCGTGACCCGCCAACCCATATATTATATGGGTTGGGTTGAGTTTATGTTTTCTGATCCGCCAACCCGAACTCAACCTAATTGTAAGGCCTAGTTAAAATCTTGTTATTTTAACAAATATCTTCTCGAAGTTCGTACATATTCCCAACTAAAGTGGTTGAAAGGTTTAATCACTTTATTGTGTAGACAACTAAGACGAGTCTTTTCCCTAGCATGGACGTTGATTTATCCAAATGAATAAGCCGTTGACTCTAATTTTATTTCATAGAATTAGTTCCACCAATTATCTTTATTCCTTCCTCTAATTTTCTAGATCCAATGAATCATCTTCCATGGCTGCAGTCGTCTCTCCCATGTCTCCTCCTCCTCCTAATTTTTTCTCATCCCTCCTATGGCGACGTCGGCACCGCCGCCCAATACAGTCCCCCATTCTTACGTAAGTTCTTCCATCTCTATCTATAATTACACAATCGCTACAGATTTTGGTGTTGAATCGATTGCGTGCTGAAACAGCCACGGCGTGTTACGGATATGATCCCGGGCAATTCCCGTCAAGCAATCTGTTCGCGGCGGCCGGCGATGGGATATGGGACAATGGAGCGGCTTGTGGGCGGCAGTATTTGGTGAGATGTATAAGCGCCGCCGAGCCGGGGACGTGTATTCCTGAGCAGGTGATTCAAGTCAGAATAATCGATTATGCACTTCAGACGGCTTCTCCGCCGTCGTATGACGGCACAACCATGGTTTTGTCCGACACCGCATTTGGAACCATCGCCAATTCCACCGCTACCTCCATGAACATCGAGTTTCAACAGTATGCTTCCCGATCTCAATCTCTTTATTTTATTTCGCCTAAAAAAGCTAATTAATCTTGATTTTTCTTTTAGATATTACCGTTGCATTAACTATTTATATTTGAACGTAAGATATTTGAATATTGAAACTAATTAAAATGCAGTTTTTGATTTTTCCAAAAAAGTTTTTTTTATATATATAAATTTATTATTTGTTCACAAGTAATTATTATAACTTATAAGTATTCATGTCTTCCGAGATTTATATAATGAAGATTTTATAATTAATGTTTTTTTATTAAAACATATGGTAAGACCATAAATTAAGTTACCATCAACATGAGTACTTATTAAATCGAATCATTGAAAATATTCCACGAGATTCTAGCTTTGATTAAATTTATTTTTAATTAATATTTTATTTTTCAGGATATGATAAAGTTTGAATGATGTTGAAGAAGTTGGCGTGTGAGAAAATGTGCAAAGAGTCTACCCCCTTTTTTTCGAGTTGTAAAAATAGATTAATAGTTGTGTTGTTCATTTTTTAGAATTAATGTTAATATTAATAAATATTGGATTTTTGCATGTGAAGAGTGAAGACGAATTTGTGAGGGTTGTCAATTGGTTGAATGATTGTTTAATAATACATCCATATGAGTGTAGCAATCAAAAGAGAATTTCTTGCTATCTTCCTATTTTGAAAGTTCTATTCATAGTCCAAGTTTATGTCTTTCAAATAACAAAAGTTGAAATTATATTAATTATTACAATAAACATTAAGAGATGGGGGCTCCTTGGCAGATAAACTGAATAACAATTACCGATCTAATAAAGTTAATAAACGATATTGGTGCGAAGATAGTTAATAAATAAAAATTATGTCTATTAGGCTAGACGGTGTGGAGTTCGGATAGCTCGGCAACCACCTCGGCAAACACCATGTCGTGCCCCTCAACATGGCAAAAATGGCAACTCTTTCGGCAATAAGTTACCGAGCTTTCTCCACCATTTCCTTCATTTGATTTTTTGACCAACCAATCACAATGCCTTTATTCTTTTTATTTTATTTTATTTTCAATTTTTTTTAACATGACAAAAATGACAACCCACGCCCAGTAAATTGACAAAATTTTGAAGCTGTGTGACAAATCTTAGGTAGCGCCTACGTAACCGTGGCAAACTTGACACCACTTCCTCTAGCCTTAATGCATGTGATATAGGTAACAAAAGAAAATGTTTTGTATATACAGTATTTGTTGGAAGCATGGTATTAGCTTTCTATGGTTAAAAGAATCTCTTTGTGCACGCGTTTGTCTACAATCTTTGTTGATTTTGCTTGTAGTAGTGCAAGGGGTTTTGTCGGACAATATTTTTTTTTATATGGGATCCTTCGGTGTTTGTCAAGAAGAAAATTGTATGTACGAAATATTTGGTCATAGTAGCAGATGAATGGGTGCTCTCTTTTTGTTCTCGTTTTATGAGTTACACTCCTCAAGATGATCAAAATAAGAGGGCGATATGAAGTTATATCATTTCTTTATGAATCGTAATCGTGGTTGTTATTATAAGTGACAGATCATCACAATCATCATAAAAGGAATGTGTATCATCATATATTACAATAGTGTACCATTCATAGCTCCTGTAATTACTCACTTACCTTCTTGTAGCCTATAAATGGGCACTCAAAGAATGTAATATGTAGCAAATTCAATTGCAATATTCTCTAAACCTTTTATGGTATCAGAGCTCTCTGAGCTCTGCTCGTTTGAGCCTTCACCATCCAAAAAAAAAAGTATGCCACAATCTCCCACTTCAACATGACCACCATTGTTGAAATCACCACACACACTCATTTTTCAATTAAGCTCACATCAACCAACTTCCCTGTATGGAGAAAACAGGTTCTGTCCACTTTAATCGACCTTGATCTTGACAAATACTTTGAGTCCTACTGAACCACCGCCAAAGACAATCGACGACATATCCAATCCACTATATCAGTCATGGTACCGCCAGGATCAAATTTTTCTTGGTGCACTTCTCGGTAGATTTTCAGACACTATCCAACCCATCGTCTCCTCTACAGAGCGCCCGTCAGGCATTCAAATGCTTGACAGACAGTTATGCTAGTGCCTCTTGATCCCACATCATCTCCTTAAAATCAAAACTCGCAAGGAACCCCAAAAACTCCAGACCAATGGTAGAATTTCTTCACGAGATGAAGGGAATCATTGATGAACTTGCCCTCGTACAAGCTCCAATTGAAGAAGAAGAAGACCGAATCGTTCACATCCTAACTCAATTAGGGGACGATTACAAGCACATTGATGTTGCCCTAAAAGTCAGGGATACACCACTCACCTTCTCTGACCTCTTCGCCAAACTTGTTGATTATAAACGATCGCTTCAAGAAATCATGTCGACGCCCACCATTGCTACCGTCAACCACACACAGAAGTGCTTCACTGGACGCACGAGATATGATTCCAGACCCAATCATCGGTCCAATAACTATGGTCCACGAAACAACAAGCCTCAAAATAACGAGCCTAATTTTAACAATAATCGTAACAATCTTTTTTGTCAATTTTGCAACATTTCAGGTCATGACACAAAAGATTGCAGAAAGTTAGCCCATTTTCTACGAGAAAGAAATATTACTATCTCATCGGGTTCCCAATCAACTCCCGTGGTCAACTACTTCACGGTTGCTTCTTTTAAACCAAATCCACCATGGATGTTTGATAGTGGGGCGTCTCATCATGTAGCCTCCGACAGATCCCCATTCCACACTCTATAAGATTTAGGAGGACCGGATGAAATAGTGCTTGGCAATGGTACAACTCTACCCATTTCTCAAACTGGTCACACATCACTTCCATCTCATTCTCGCCCATTACATTTACATAATGTTCTTATTGTTCCTCAATTAAAAAATAATCTTATATCAGTGGCGAAACTCTGCAAATCTAACCATGGTTCGGTTGAAATTTTTCCCTATCATTTTTTGGTTAAGGATCTTCGCATGGGGGCACCTCTCATGCGGGGAATGAACGTCAATGATGTCTACTATGCAGCCATCAATTCTCTTCGTCGTTTGTCACAAATCAAATCTACCACAACTTCCACCGGGTCTCTTCTATCTTGGCATCACAAGCTTGGACATCCTTCAATAAAAGTTCTAAAGCGCTTACTTAAGACTTTAGGCATTTCTTACAATAACATGTCCACTATTACTTTTCACTGTGATTCATGCTCCATTAATAAAATCCATAAATTGCCTTTTAGTGAAAACTCATTTCATGTTTCCAAACCTTTGCAACTTATATACTCCGATGTCTGGGGCCTGGTCCAGTCCTCAAACGATGGCTTTACCTACTATGTGATATTTGTTGATTTTTATTCCAAATATACATGGTTATACCCTATGAAACGAAAATCAGATGTCTCCATTTTGTTTCCTCAATTCAAGACATTAGTCGAAAAATACTTTCACACCCCTTTAGTCGCACTCTTCTCATATAATGGCGGTGAATATATTGGACTCCTTCCATATCTCAAACAACATGGTATATCTCACTTCACCACTCCCCCGCATACTCCGGAACAAAATGGTGTAGCCGAACGACGTCTCCGCCACATTGTTGAAACCGGTCGCTCTCTCTCTCTCTCTCTCTCTCCTACACCATGCAAAATTACCACTGTCATTTTGGTCCCATGCATTCGAAACTGCAGTTTACCTAATCAACCGCCTTCCCACAAAAATCTTGGCATTTCAATCACCATACCACAAGCTATATAACTCTTGACCCACTTACACAAAACTAAAACCATTTGGTTGTTTGTGCTTTCCATGGCTACGACCATATGCTCCTTCAAAACTTCATCCCCGATCCATCAAATGCATCTTCCTTGGATACTCCTCCAAATCAGCATACAAATGCTATATCCCATCAATCAACGTCTTTACCATTCCCGCCATGTTGAATTCATTGAACATGAGTTCCCATTCATATCCAAACTTGCATCCAACTCCCCACTACCATCAACCGATTCATTCATATTACCTGCCCGTCCACCTTCATAACCACCACCACCACTAGCAATCATCTCTGGTAATCCTATCTTGCATACATCCACACTCACCATACATATATCTACTCCCAAAAACCTCCCTCCACTCAAACTGAACCTACTACTCCATCATTCTCTCAAACCACGGATACCTTACCAGCTACTCCATCCACCACACCCACTCCCTCTTCACCATCCACCCAAAGCTCGAACAATAATCCATCACCATATCCTCCAAAAACCAACCAACGACCTCAACGATCAAGAAAACAAAACCCCAAATATTTCAATAAAAACCACATCAACACCACTACCGTTCACCCTATACCAACTGCCCTCGAACCTACAACTCCAACCCAAGCCCTTACAGACCCTCAATGGCGAAAAGCAATGGATTCTAAGTTCAACGCTCTCATTCAAAACCAAACATGGGAACTTATGTCTCCACACTCCCACAAACCAATTGGTTGCAAATGGGTGTTTTGTATTAAACGCAATCATGATGGTTCCATTGAAAAATACAAAGCTCGTCTCGTAGCTAAGGGATTTATTCAACAATATGGGAAAGACTACTCTGATACATTTAGTCCTGTTACAAAAACAGTTACCATTCGTTCCATTGATCTCTCCGCAAAATGACCCTTACTGCAACTAGATGTTAATAATTCCTTTCTTCATGGGACACTCCACGAAGATGTCTTCATGACCCAACCACCTGGATTTATTAATCCTCAGTTTCCTAACCACCTCTGTAAGCTCAAAAATCTCTATATGGTCTCAAACAAGCTCCGCGGGCTTGGTACATTGAACTTACTACCTTTCTTCTTTAATTTGGGTTTCGCAAGTCTCTCGCTGATGCATCCCTGTTCATATATCAACATCATCACACCATATGCTACTTCATGGTTTATGTTGATGATATTGTTCTCACCGACAATGATCCTAAATTTCTTGATCACTTTACTCAGGCATTGAGCAACAAGTTTTCAATCAAAGACGTAGGGATGCTTCATCACTTTCTAGGTGTTGAAGTCATACCTACTCCTAATGGACTCTTCTTGTCTCAACACCGTCACATCTAAGATATCCTCCATCAATACAAAATAGATGGAGCTAAGGAAGTCATTACCCCTCTCAGTGCCACGGAACCCTTGGACTTGCATGACCCATCACCACTGATTGATGCCACTCCTTATCGCAAACTGGTTGGCTCTCTTCAATATCTTGCCTTCACTCGCCCTGATATTTCCTTTGCTATCAACAAATTCTCTCAATTCATGCATGCTCCTAGACAAGCTCACTGGCAAGCCTTGAAACATGTCTTATGGTACTTAAAATGCACTATTTATCATGGCCTCTCCCTAAATCGTTGCTCTCCTCTCACTCTCTCGACCTTCTCTGATTCTACATGGGGTGGAGTTAATGATGGTGGTTGATCCACTACAGCCTAAATTCTCTACCTTGGTACGAATATCATCTCGTGGAAGTCTACACGCCAAAAGTTGGTCTCTCGTTCGTCTACTGAAGCAGAATACAAAGCCTTAGCCAATGCCTTTGCTGAGCTTATGTGGATTAAAAACAT